AATGTCTAGGCAGAAGCAACACTCTGAAATGAATACTATGAGTACCAAGGTCCCCTCAAATACAGGCTCAGTTTGAAACATATCCCAGGAAGATAAATGCTTGGCCCCATATCACATAGGTAGTGGAAAACAGAGTGAAGATCTGAGTTCATTTTCTAAATTCCAATCTAGGACCCTTTCCACTTTCTAAATTTAAACAGTGAAAGACTAGTCAGTATAAAAGACTAGTATACTAAGCCAATGCTTTTGATCAAAATGGCTAAGGTCCTTCCATTGTTGCTCAGATCCAGGAGCATCTCCATAACAACAAAACTCTCACAGGATAAATTACTGAAGAAATAATTGTCAGGTTACACTTGTTCCTTTATTTCCAGAGGGCAGTATATTTAACTTGGTTGACCCCATCATAAGCCTTTGCTTTAAAGTGAAAAATCTACAAACATATATGGGGAGATAGTTTGTAAGCTGTCTCTTTTGACAGAGCCCAGCCTGCCTTTCCACTTTTGTTCTTGTTTACTTCTTGCTCAAAGTCCATTATTCTAAAGCCCATCTCTTGGAATTCGTGAATAGTTGAGGATGGGGAATTTTAGTAATATAAACATCACCTTCCCAGACTTGATTTTGTCGCGTGAAGGTCAGTGATAAGTGACTTCCCTCTTGGGGCATAATTAGTGGCCACAAGGCCTTTTCTATTGATCTTTTTGAAATTATAGGGTCATAACACATGACAGGGGGATAGAGAGGTTGGCTTTGGGACAGCTGGAGGCCAAAAAGTACAAGACCAGATGTGACTAGACAAGGTAGAGGTAATAAAGAAGAGGAAAACTGGCTATAGGAGCAGAGGAAAGACATCCATCTTGGCATATGCACTGAACATATCCGAGGTTAAATCCAATTTGTATTTTTGCGTTTCCTGCTGTTACCTTTGTGCTCACAGCACCCAATTATTTTGTACAGTAAGATGAAAGTATCAAGTTTTTTTATAGTATTTAGTAGCAGCTTAAATATCTTTCATGCTGTCATCTTCCTATTATGCTTCAAACATTTCTTTTTTTTTTTAAGAGTAGAAAAAATTTATTGAGAGAAAAATAGCTTCTGTCTAAGAGAGACAGAAGGGGGACTAGAAAGTGGGTTGCCCCTTCAAACATTTCTTTAAACCTCCTGTTCTAGAGATCCAGTGCTATGGGTAAACTTGTAATCAGCTTACACCTCTCCTGTTACTCTGCGACCTATAATCCCTTATCCAAGTAGTTGGTACTAGAAAAGTGCAGACAAAAACATGAAATGAAATGATCTTATTGAGTTCATACTTGTTCCTTACTTGTTGTGTCTCAGGTATATATTTTTTGGCAACAACAAATCTGTTTTTTTTTTAACAGATCCTGGGTATGGATAAAACTGAACCTAGAGATGGCAATCATTGGTGTAGTATGAAAATGGATAGTGTGAGGACCAGCTGTATTCCTGGGTATGATACCCCAGAGCTGGTAGCCTGTGAATAAAGCTCTGCACCTCCAACAGAAGCTTCATGCTTTCTTTCAGAATTGATTGTAAGGCTAGACTTTGTATCTATTGAACAACTACTATCAAGGGAACCAGAAATTTGGTTTTCAATATATAAACATATATATATGAGCTTTATGAATGAAGGTCAATATGTAGCTTGATTATGGAAATTAATATTTGAGTAATTTTGTTCAAAACACCACACCACTCCAGAAGCCAAAGAATCACAAGAACAACCTCATTTGCATTACAATGCTGCCCAATGCTCCATCATAGCCTCTTTGACCTCATAGAAATCCATTTGGCTTGTGGGACTAACCAGATCTCTACCAACTACTCCTTATTCCATTTGCAAATTTTTATTGAAGAGAGAAATCAATTTGGACCTCTTCATACTAGCTATGGTTAGCTTTCCTATCTATATAGACTATAAATACGTATCTCAGAGGCAAGAGGTCAGGAAATTAATCTCCTATACCAGAAAAACGTAAGCCTCCAAAAGATTAAGGACTCCCAAAACACACTCAAACATTAAAAATGAAGAAAAATAAGAGAACCATATCTACAGACTGCCTGTTAATCAACATAGGCTAATCAGTGAACTAGTATACAAGCAAGCAGAAGTAGCAATAAATTTGATACAATAAACTGGCTTCTTTTAGCAGATTACTGCTTAAATGAAGGGGACAAAGCTACTTGATTTGGTTGAATCTATTATTTAATGTCCATGCTGCAATGACATAATAGTATTTGAGTTATGCGTTACCCTATGCATACCAATCTTACATTAAGGTTAGAATAGCTGCTAACATTCAGTATCTTCTGTGAACAACATTTCTTTGTTCTCTCTTCCTCTCTCTCTCTCTCTGTCTCTCTGTCTCTCTCTCGCTCGCTCTTTTTCTCTCTCTCTCATTTAAAGTAACTGTGGCTAAATAAGGTTGGGAAAATCCTGGGTATAATTAAACCCAAAGGTTTCTTTGATGTAAGACTTCTCAGAACATTTAATGTGCCGAGAGCACTGTGAATTTCTAAGAAAAGCACAGAATTTGTAACATTTTACAAACTGATTTGACTCTAGAACCCTTTTCTGAAGAGCTCCCTGGAGTGGGGAGATAGAGACAATTGTCTTTAGAATACACTTCAGGAAATATTGCTTTAAATGTCTGACCTCAGTGACTTTCAAGTAAAATAGCAGATGGAAGCTGCCCAGGTGGAGTGTGTGCTCCTTTGGAAATTCCCAATCTCTTCTGATAGACATGAGGATAGTGTCTGGGGCATTGAAAGAGGAGAGCTTCTCAGAACTTCTACCTGAGCCCTGTGAGAATCTCTTTATGTCAGCTAGTTCAGTCAACAAACATTCATTGAGCTTTTGCAGTGTGCTAGGAGCTGAACATTCATTTAAAAGAAAGTTAGGACTGCTTCTAATATGTCTAATGGAAACAGAGCTGTTCAAAGATAAAATAACATTTAAACCAGATGACCTTCTGGGGTCAGGGTGGGCAGAGGGAGACATTTTAAAAAGAAGGATATGTATATACAGATGTGCAGATGCTGGAAAGGGCATTGTTCTGCTTCATTAAGCGTCATCCCTTTGGTTTCTGTATATACACACCATATCATATGCTGGTATTTTATAGAGCGTTCCTCAAAGAAACAAAGACTGATGATTGAAGGTGTTGGAGAGGGCTTGCTACCTTCATTGCCTGCTAAGTTTGAAAATCCAGTTGTCATTGGACTGGAGATCCCTTACCTAGGAGGTGGAAGTGTCCTTTTACATATGATTAGAAACAATCAAAGAATGCAAGGAATGGTATATATTTCCACAAAATGTTGGAAACATTTTGGATGGAGGGAAGAGGGTTAATATATAGGTAAATTGCCTTAAATCTCATTTAATGATGAATTAAATGATTGATGAATGTCTGCAAATGTACATGTGTTTTAATTTACAGAGTGCTTTCATATCCACTATTTCATTTGATCCTCACAAGAATGGTGTGAACATGAACAGGAGCGGTGTGATCAGTCACTGTGCAAAGGAGAAGTGTGAGGTTCAGCACAGTTAAGTGATTAGTCCAAGGTGGTATTAGTAAGTGGCAATATCAAGACTAGAAACAAAACCTCTTGAATTTCAATCTTATGTACATAATTTGTACTTTTTCTGTATTACTTGGAGAGCCTGAAGGTAAAGGCAAGCAGACTCATGCCCAAAACAAAGAAAATTTCTCTAAAAATCACATTGGATTAGGCAAGCTTATGAAACAATTATAGAGGACATGCCTGCCTTAGGTGGGAAATTAAATGTGATGTCTTTAAGTTCACTGTCTAGCCTGAGATCCAATGATTCTAAAATTCCTCTGTCCTATTTCTCCCAGATGAGATTTCAGATCACAAAACAATAGGAAATAAATCGAAGTCACAAATTTACCAAAATTGCCAACTATATATGGGTATGAGTGACCTAAAACTTAAAATCTTGGATCTTATAGATTAGAAATTATGAAAGGAGACATGGTTCTGCATTTGAGAAATCATCAGTCATTTTGATGTATAGTGAATCTTCATTTTTAGAATCTGTATAGTTGTTCAAACACCAAAGGCATGTTAAGAGGTAGAATTATGGACTGACAACAATCCATACTTATTTTGTCTGATAAGGGACCAAGCTTCACTTTAGAGTCAATAGATCTAGCCACTGTCCAATTCCCTTGAAACATTGTTTGGCATATATTTACAGGCCTTTATGTTCAAGAGAAGGGTGCATCTGTCTGATGGAGGCGCCTGGCTGCATTCTTTCTCAGATATTAATATAGGTGGCACTTCAGTAGTATAACCAATGACATAAAGAACCTGATTTGGAGGAGAACAGATGGCAGCATCTTTCTTGGTCTAATTTTAGGATCCTGAAATAGTCCCTTTCTCACACAAACCATCAGTGGAACCAAATTAAGAGAGCTATGTTGCATGGAGAAGTGAGAGAGAAAAATAAGCTTCGGTGTAATGCAAAGACAGTGAACCAGAGGCTTCAATGATTCTCCCATATCTGACTCCTTTCATAGCATATGAGGGTCACTTCAACCTCCTTTCATCAAACTGGGTGCAGAACACTAACAGGAGGGTGTCTAAGAAAAACTGAGTGGGCAAATCTCATCTTCAGTTATATGTATGAATATCTTTGCATCATATAACAGCTAAATTTGTACTCATAAGTACCGGATCTAGTTTTTAGGTATTTTTTTCTTAACAGGTAAGGAAGCTGAAGCTAAATGATCATTATACTTGGTCAATTACAGGAAGACTGAATCTCAAGGTCTCAGATTCCTGGTCCAATCCTTTTCCTGCTGATAAGACCTCTTCTCCAAATAAGACATATAATATCAGGTAGGGATAATGAGATGTAGAAGACGAGTCTCTCAAGCAGAAATAATGGCTTAGGTATAAGATGGTTATCTAAAGATTTAGAAAAATTATGAGTACTTTGAAAAGATACTTACCTGTTTTCCATCCAGAGTGTAGAGTTTTTTGACTACCCCTGTCTCTAGTTTGATGGCTTCAGTGATATCAGTGAGGACTTGCTCAAAAGAGTGAGCCGTCTTCTTATTCAGAAGCACACGCACGGCCTTCCGAGGCTTCACTCCACTGCGGATGATGGTCACCAGCTTGGGACGCACAAAGTCCTTATTCTCTCTGGCCTGGGCACTGTTGCTGCTAGCCAGGGACTGGGGAGCTTTCATATTGGCAGATGTCTTTACATTGACAGACCAGTTGGGATTGACATTCTTGGTGTACTCCACCTTTTTAAAGAAGTTGTCTGAGGAACAGACATAGCTTTCCCCTAAGGGAAGAGATAAGTGGTTAGGTGATTAGTTCAACAGCAGATACATGGACTCTAACCAAACTAATACACAGTGAGATTGGGGTAAGACCTTTTGAGAAATGGTGATAATAACCAATTTCAGGTAAAATTCCTAAATGGGCTCTCTCACAATTTGGATCATTAAAATTCAAAAGTGATCAGCAAAACATGTTTCAATATAATGGCACACCTATTAAAGAACACTGTACAGTTAAGAGTTCTAAGGACAATGAACACTCTTAAGTTTAATCTAACAAGTGGATTTCTCAAGTTTAATGTGGTTTTATGAAGATACTAGGATGTTTGCTAACATTTGGAGGCATTACTGGAACACTTTTAACATGTCCCTGTTTACTAATGTTCCTGTACTGTTTGGGGGCTCATAGCCCCATTCTTTTGTTATATTATGAACCAAGGAGAACTTTCAAAGTTAATACAGTTTTCATTCCAAATTAAAATGAACCAAGTAACCTTGCATATCAGGTGTATACTACATACTTGGTTAGAAGTCAGTCCATCCTTTGAACATAATATTTGGCTAAGCAAATGTTGAAATATGAACTCTGTGTGTGTGTGTGTGTGTGTGCGTGTGCACAGGTGGAATGAGCAGTAAAAGACACAATTATACACGCAGACATTCAACACACACACACACACACACACACAGAATTCTTTGTATTTGCAATCTAGCTCTTGGTTCAAAAATACTCTTATATTTCTGCCACCCCCTTGCATCTCTCTAGCTTCCCAAATCCTGCACCCTAGATCTGTGCACTTGAGGCCATCTTCATCAATGCTTCCTTCCCCTTGACTGCCACAAGTAATGAGGTAAAGATGTGAAGATACATTATACAGCCTGATATATGGATTGGAGGGATCTAGCATAAGTTTTACATTTTCCTTGGGCTGGAGGAAATGACTAATAAAGGAGAAGAAATGCAGGGGCCGGAGGCAAGAGGAAGGGGTTGGACACCTGGGACTAGAAGCTGAAGAAAATAGGAAGAGGTAGGCTCAGCCTGGGGGAGAGAATATTGAAAAAAATTTGTATTTGTAGAGTAAAACACTCTAGCTTCCCAGTATACAGAAGTTCACCCAGAGGTTGAACTGCAGAAATACTGTGATTTAATCAGTCTTAAGCCATCAGTAATAACCGTAAATAAATAAATAAACCCTAGCCAGTACAAAGAGAGCATTAAACATAATTATAATCTGATGGCTCTTCTTTTTCCCTTGATCTCAGCAGGAGAACCACATAGAGACATTCAGAAACACTAGGCTGATAATTCCCTCCTTTTGCAAATATTGATTGCTGTAGCAAATCAGTTCCTTCAAGTTATGTTAATTAATAAATTTCTCAGTTGGTGCTAAGAGAAGATTCAGTCAGAGTCTCTAGGGCACTTTTGAGAACATTTATGTATATGTGCAGAGAGCGAGGGGGAGCAACATCCAAAGTTGCCCTCAGACTCAAAAGCCACTAGTGTTCTCTTTTGACAGGGAACCAAGGGGAGGTTTGTAGTAAGCACAAGCACCATCCTTACTTGGTACACACCTGCACATCCAAGACAGAAGAGCCAAAAACACCAGCTAAGAGACACCTGAATTTCTCTGGCTTATTTGTTGGCCAATCGAACCCTACTCAAGTGTTTGAAGGCGAGGGTCTTCAATTTGTGACTTAAAAGCATAAAGAGGCCCTTTCAATTCTTCCATATATTCACAACCAACATCTCCCCCACACTAGAAACAACCTCTTTCCTTAGCACTTCCCCAAAGTCATGGGCACCTTCCAAGAGGACGCTGCCTTGAGTCAAATGTTTTCCATAACTTGTCATGCACTTTAAACATCTATCAGACAACTGGTGGTATGGAAATGTGCAAGGCTATGTATTTGTGATTTCACTCATCCACAGTCTCTTCTAGAGAGTCAGCTGTGTAAACCTGTTAGGACTCTGGACTCTTTTTTGCCCCTAACTCTTAAACCTCTTAAGCCTCTGAACTATGAATATGATTAACTACCCCCAGATGAAAATGGACATGATGAAACAACTATGGTATCATATGGCACCCAAGAAGTCGCCAAAGGGCCCATTCTTCAGCCAAATCTATGTTGAACACCTTCCAAGGGTACATTTTAGTCACTGCACTCTCTTTTTGGCCTGAATACAGAGTAATGGAAAAAGAACAGCTGATATGATGTCAGTCAGAATGGGGTCCCCAACACCTCCTAGTTGTGTACCCTTGGGTAAGTCACCTAGCCTCTTATGACTACCGTGTCTTTCTTATCTGCAAAGTAGAGGTTCTAATAATAATATTTACCATTAGGATTGTTGTGGGGGCACAAATCAGATGATAAATACAAAGTGCTGAGAAATATAGTAATCATTTTATAAATTCCTATTATTATTAAGCTCCTCATATGAAGAAATGGAGAATAAAAGGAAGGTGTTTGCCTAAGGATGAACAAAATGCTGAGAAAAAGGAAAAAGAATGAGGAGGAATTGAAGCTGAAGACAGGAAAAGAGAGAGCAGCAAGATCAGCCCTCTAGGACCTGAGTTGTGATCACTCTATAACCCAGCTCTGCTGGGATCCACTGCCTCAAAGACCTTCTGCTCCTTGGAAGGAGGCTTCCAGTTGTTGCAAATGCCAAATGCTGGGACTCTATAGCTAATAACCAGCAAAGCTACTGCTGAGGCTCATGAGGGCAGGATATTTATGGTGGTCAATAGTGAATGACTTGGGAGTCAGGCAGACCTGGATTCAAATTTCAACAGGTACTTAGGAGCTGTGTGACCTCAGGCAAAGCACTTAATCCTTCTGAGTCTCAATTCTTTCATCCATAAATTGAAGCTATTTTACTCGATGATAACTGAGTCCCTTCTAGGCCTAAAGGTTAATAAGAAGAAATTTTCTTCTCTTTTCCATCTCAAACAGACTTGAGGAAATAAAGGCGTTACAGTAATCAAATGTTAAAGAAATAGGTGCCCACCACCAAGAACCTTTCTCTTTTACTAAAAAGGCATCAAATATGCTGCTTTACTAGACTAAGGCTTCTTTGTTCTGATTTTGCAAACATTTGAAATATCTACTGTTAGGGCTTGGAGCTTCCTACACGGCTCGCTGTTTGGCACTTGGAGCCCCTGGGAAGTGTGTTGCACCTTTACACGGCTGAGTTCCTACCCTGCCACAGCTTCCCGGGGCTACATCCCACCACTGGGAAGCTAGGAGAGCTGGTTTCAGAGTCAACCAAAGCGACAATTTGCTGGAACTGAAAACCTGCTTTAGAGTGAGGAGTTAAAGAAATGAAGTCACCGAAGAGCGCTAAAAGAGCAGAATGCAACAAGATGTGAGCTCAAAATGATCTAATGTCTACCTCCTTCAGTTTTAAGAGGATTGTATTCTCAAAAGTATTAAATAAATTTTTATCTTCTCACTGTGAAATTGCTTTACCTGGGTTTTGTCTTCTTCTCCAGGGCTTCCTAACTCAAGAAAGAAAATATTAAATGGTATTTTATTATATTAAATGATACTTTTTTGTATTACCTATTAATAATGCACACCTCTCAGGTATCTTTAAGTCCTTGTTCTTGACAATATACTTGCTTTAGTAGTTAGAAAATAAATTAATGAAAAGGTCATTTCATTCCATTGGAACAAAAGAGCTGAGGCAAAGGAACTGGGTCAGTGTTACTATACAGATCAGATTTTCCAAGACTGCACTGGTTATAAATATTCTGTCCCATGGTTTGCATAATAATGCTCAGACTTGCCTCAATTTGCATTCACAACCACTTCTCAGCCTTTTGGCTGAGATCAAGTGTCAATTTGCATTCTCAAAAACTGGTTTGTAAATATACCCTCCTAAAATGGATCTAGCTTCTTAGATATACAAAAAGTGCAGAAAGGATTGGACAGGATATAATGGAATGAGGAACAATTCTACAGGGAAAGACAAAAGAAAGACAAGACAAAATGCAATATCACCAGTGGATTTCATCCATTGATTTATTGGGATACGGCTAATGAGGGCCACATCCTAGGTGGTGTTGCTAAGAACCTTGGTGTACACAAGGAGCTATGGAAAAGCTGAAATCAGAAACCTGAAGGTTCAAAATGCTTTCCTTGACACTTTTCAGCCTGTAGTAGCAAGCAGTTGACTAGAGGCACAAGACAAAGGGATACCACAAAGTCAGAGTGATTATTAACCAAGTGCCTTTTATTTCATTTTATTTTAGGTTGAATATTTAATAATGTGTCCATTTGGAAACATAGTATGTTCTATGTTCCATTTTTCTTTTAAGATCTACAAAGCAAAAAATCAAAAACAAGGATTTCTGGATTCCTAGAAATTCCTAACACTTTTGTTAGCCAAAAGGTATCATCAAGTTCACCAAATCTATTATTTCCCAAGTTTAAGTGCTCTTAAGAATCACTCAAGATCTGTAAACACAAATTCCAAAGCCCTACCCCTGGGGAATCTAATTTAATATTTCTGAAGTGTGGCCCAGAAATCTATATTCTTTCTAAAGCTCTGAAAAGTTTTGAAAAGCAGGCACATTTGGGAAACACAAGGCATTACAATTCCACACTAGCATCATCATTCCTATCATTATTATGGTTTTCAGTGTTATTATTTTTACATTAACAATAAAAACAAAAGTTTTATCTTGTCAATGTGTTTCCATACATATCTATTTTATCCTTACAATCACCCTAATGAATGAAGAAGGCAAATTGTTGCTGGTCTCATTTTACAGTTAAGAATATTACACATAAGAGACACACAAAACATGGTCTATACATAAAAGGAAATATTATTCCTCAATAAAAAGGAAGAGAATGCTGAAACACAGTACAACATGTATAAACCTTGAAACCATTCTAAGAGGAAGAAGCACAAAAGAGCACATAGTGTATAATTTAATTTATAAGAAATGGCCAATATAAGCAAATCTATAGATACGTAAAGTAGATAAATGGTTGCCTAGGGATGGAGAAGTTGGGGAAATGGAAAATGACAGTTAATTGGTACAGAATTTCTTTTTGAGGAGATGAAAACGATCTAAAATTACATTATAGTGATAGTTGCACCGCATAATTATCTAAAAATCACTGAATTGCAACTTAAATGGGTAAATTTTATAGTGTGCAAATTATACCTTAATAACATCATTTAAAAATAATTATTTTAAGAAGAGAAAATATTAGTCACATTGATGATATGGACAAACCTATGATCACTTAGCTAACAAGCGGTAAACCAAACAGATACGTACAATAAAACTACCCTTTATTGAGTGCTACTATGTGCCAGAAGAACAGTAAACACTTCATGTCCATTGTCTTACTTTATTTTCAAAGCAGTTATATGTGAAAAATCGAGGCTCAGAGTTTCTAATGCTTTCTAGAAGCTGTCAGATTTGAACTTAATCTAATTCAAAAGATTTCTTTATTCCATTATAATATGCTGCCTCTAAGAATAGAACCCAAGTCTCCTGTCTCCTGCTTCTTTTTTTTTTTTTAGTACTGGGGATTGAACTCAAGACCTTGCGCTTGTGAGGCAGGCGCAACTCCACTGAGCTAAATCCCTGGCCCTCCTGATTCTTCACTCAGGAAATTTTCCAAACTTTTTCAATTTGAAGCCTAAGAGGAAACAATATATATGAATTTTTAATCTTTTATTCAACCTTTTCTAAAGGTAAACAAAGAGAAAGAGAGTTTTGTCTTTCTTTTCTTGATGAATAGTCCTAAAGGTCAAAATAGAACAGTACAAGACTCATTTTTTGTATCTTTCTTATCCCAGTTGCCTTTCCCATTTGGCTCAGTAGCAGTGGGAAAATTGATCATATTTACCAACATTATCCCAGAGATACCCCTGAGTTTCCTTGACAGTATGGGCAATACTCATTGGAATACTCATGGAAAAGCATTGACATCCACTGTGATTTGTAGTTGTAGATTACATATGAATAAATGTAACTAAAACTTATTCACATTCTACTTTGTCCAGGAATTCACCAGTAAGTACTACTGCACTCATGAATGGTACATGAGAGGAGTGAGTTCAATTGAACAGAACTTAAGAGAAGTCAATTGAAAAGAAAGCTGCATTCTTTTCAAAATTATATTTATAATATATTTATATTGAATTGAAATTATCACCAACTGTTTCCCAATACACACACACACACACACACACACACACACACACACACACACACACATCTGGGAGGAAAAATATCAGTATGTAAAATAAAAATAGATTTGGAGAGAAATTTATACATAATACTTCTTTTATATCAGATGCAAGAATGTTCTAATATTTGTTCTGAATGCATTGTCACTTGGTTCAGAATTCTCTAGCATCCTAAGATCATAACTAGTGGAAAGCAAAACATAACGGATAAACAGGGTGCTTTGTTTGTGAAAGTTATTACAGAGAATTCCTTCAAATTTGACTGATATGGATTTTACAATGACAAAAAGCACACACCCTATTGATTACTCTGTTGGACAGTTCCCTCAGCCTAGTCTCAAGTCCTTCCAGTTTGCTCTGACTCATCTTTATTTCAAGATATGCACTCGAATGACTAGTCTTTGATAGTCAGAAATGACCTAGGATTAACCTCTGACTGTCTATTTTGCACATAATCAAATAATCCAAGCCTCCTTAGCACTACTTTTCAAGGTCAGCTGTGAAGAAAACTCTAGGACTTGAACCCTGAGATTTAGATACAACAATGTTAGGGTCACTGTCTTCTATAAGTAACTGTCCCCAACCACTTCGCCTGACACTTGAGAAACAACAGCTAGGGAAACAGGGTCTTGTGGAAGGGAAACCTTTGTGCTCCTTTATCTAGGAGTACAAGAACCTTAGAAGCAGTGAAGTGGAGCCAGGGTACTCAAACCAAATCATTAAATGTGCTATTTTGCATTTTCTTGGCCATTTCATAACTTGAGTTTCCTAGCAGTCTGTCTATGCTAAACTCACCTTTGTTTAGGAACTAGAGGAAGTGAGGCAAGAGGGCTGAATAATGAGGAAGGGTCTGAGGAGTAGCATTTTCATTACTATCCTTCCTTGGTGTCCTTTAAAGCACTGTATCATATTAAGTTGATCACATACTATACCCACCAATTTAAAGGATAGGAAATTACCTTCGATATAATTTATTTAATAATGTAGAACACTAACAAAATCCTTCTATAGTCTAAGTGACCACAAAGACTTTATGTTTATGTGAGTTTGGGTAAAAGCTGGGATTTTCCCTATTTTCAGGTGAGTATAAAGGTTGTCAGGATTTTCAACAATCTACTCAAAAAATCCAGTTGAATACCAAAACCTAGAGAGGATTTAAAAGGATTGAGGTTCAATGAGTCAGTTCCACTCTAATAGGAACAATCCTTATTAAAATACCAGTCATACCTACAGCTTCCTTTGGTATTTCTTCCAATGATCTCAGCCTCAGGGACACACCCTGAAGTGGGCTTTTTAAAAAAGAAGCAACAGCTGAGCAGCAACCACTTACCTAAAAGTACATATCTTGTGAATATATCCAGGAAGTCCTGCTTTCAGGGTGCATATCTCCAATGAGTTACAATTTACAAATCATTTTTCAACAGTTTAAAGGCAATTTGGGCATATTTTCTCTATTAATCCAACCAAATGTCCTTCCTTGTTACACTCCTAATGATTTCAGGGTCTGCCTTGATAGTTCCACTCAGAGTTATTTATGAACAAGATCTAAACACCACAAATCAGACTTTCCTTTGTATACTCTGGTAGATAAATATAATACATTATCACCACCATCCACCTTCAAACCCCAGTAGAGTGAAGCTATAAAGTAGGATGGCTCATGGTTCTGTTGATGCCTATAGAATCAGAAGTCTGAGTGTCAATCAGCCTGTTAGGAAAGACACATTGCCTAATTTCTTTCGGTGAAATCTGAGAATGTAACTATAACCACAATGCCATTTCCCACCAAGGGCTACCACCCACTACTTGAATTACCTTCCTCTAGCTCATCCATGCTTCCGACCTTCCTGGATCCATCAATGGTGTAAATGTAACGCACTCCCTGAGGCAGGTTGATGTTGTCAGACAGAGATCGAGTCAGGTCAGCCAGCAAAGCATCGAAGCTGCGAAAACGGTCAGAGGACACAGCGTACACAATCCCCTTGAAGTAGCGGTCCCCATTGCGGTAGAAACGTACCTTCTTGGCCTTCTTCTCATTGCTCAGGGCCTGCAAGGTTCTGGTTCTGTAGAAGCTACAGTGGGCGCTGTGAGTGGGACTAGGCAGCCCATTCATCCGTGAGCCTCGCATGTTCCTGGATGCTTTATCTCTTTCGTCAAAGTGTCCAAAATCAAGTTCCATATTTTGGTGGAACCTCAGAGACCTAAGTGTTGGAGAAAGGGGTAAGGAGAGGCAAAGAAAAAGGAGTGGGGGTGGGGGAGAGAAAAGAATTCAAATATTAGCCAGATCGAGACCTACAATCTGCTGCTTATGAAAAGAACTGGTTGAAAAAAAAACCCGTGACCCATCTGCTGCTTGCCCCTGACCTGCAGGAATATTGATCTTAATAGAGAAGAAGGAGGGGCTGGGCAGGGGTGCTGGTGGTTGCGGGGGTGGGGAGTGAGAGACAGAAAGGGAGGCACTTTTGGCACTGTTCCAAACAGAGGATAGGGAGGGATTTTGAAAAAGCTTAAATCCTGGAACTTACTGACAGTGGCTCCTACCAAATTGTAACTTCGGGCTAAATACATTAAAACTGGCATCTGTTTCCTCACACATGCACACATGACTAACAGTTGTAAATGAATCCATAGCCTGACAAAATTCCCCTTGAAGAGAACAGAAGGAGCTAGCCAAGGTTAGCATCTCCAGAGAGGGAAGCAGTCTTTGCATCTCAGTGCAATGTCTATGAAGGGGAGTGTTTTAATTTTATTCCAAATCCTTTTTCTTACTCTAATGTGTGCATCCCCTACCCCAGAATAAACTAGAATTCTCTTTTAAAGGGACAGCCTCCAGGGAATAACCAGTGTCTTTGTGCTATTCATCAAAACCTCTCCCCACCAAGCTGGTGCAGCTATCCGACATTCATAAGAAACAAGCTGGAAAAGGATTAGAAAAATCAGTTATTTAACAAGTTATTAGCTCTGCTTTCCTCTTGGTACCATTTGGTCACAATCCTCCCACCCCAGGTGTTTGATCATCTCCCCACCAAAGCAACAACACCTTTTAATGGAATAATTGAATTGTCAAAAGATTCCCAGATGAGTTCCTGAACAGCATATGGGACCTTTACAAGCAAGCACACCTTTCATTGTTCTGGGTTTCTACCCTGACTGAAGCGGCATTTTGCTGTCACAATGCTGGCAATTTACCCCAAACGTGTCTATTGCCCAGGTGGATTCACTGAGGCAAAATATAATCAGCTGTCAGGATTTGATTTCCCCCTTCTGCTGACCCCACCCAACAACAACAACAACAAAACAATGAAAACATGAAACCAAATACAACCAAAGCCCCAAATACTAGCAAAGGTACTGACATCCTAAGAACCAAATTATTAAAATGCATCTCACAGATGGGAATAAAAGGACTCACAAAGCAAGCGAGCTTCAGCTGCTACACACTGCCACACCAAGATATTTGCAAAAGACTAGAGGGACAGGAGATAAAGGAGGACTAGTTCCTGGTAGGATTTCCAGGCTCAGTTCCCCTTTTTTTCCCAATGTCACCATGACCTATGCTGAGCTCAGCATTGTCTGTGTCAGACAACCTGCAGTAGTAAGACCCCACCTCCTCTAGACAAGTAGCAAGCATTTCCCCAGGGGTGCCAATAATGCTTTGCTTTGCTTTGCTTTAGGATCAGAAGTTCTTAATTAACATCATAGTGAAAACAAAGGAACATCAAACTCACTTTTCCAAAGGAAAATTCCAGGTACAGCCTTAAGGAAAAAATCCAATAGAATAAGTCAAACAAGGAGAAGAGAAGGGGAGGGGAGGCAGAGAGAGAAAGAGAAAGAGAGAGCAAGAGCCCTTTGCCTTGTGCTTTTCCCACTTGACATCTGTTACATTCTGCGTGAAAATCAGTTGAAAGCCCCACTCACCGGTTTTCTGCTGGTTGGGTGGAGATGCTGAGAGAAAGAAAACCAATCTCTCTATGCCTTTGTTGTCTGAGCTCCAAGCAAGAAATTCCTGCCAGGGTGGATAGATGCCTTCTAGGTCCTAGTGCCTTGTCCAGCTTCTCTTCTATAACTCAGGCTTAGTGAATCCCCACCCCACCTCCTATGATTAATTACATGCTTTTAAAGAAAATTTTCACAGCCTGCATTAACAACTAGAAAGGTTTCATTTATAACCAACAGGAAATTGCACGGTAACAAAAAGATTCCATAGGCAAGTTCAGAATGCTCTAGTGAGCAATGTGCTAGTCCTTTCTTTCAGAAAATTGGAAATTTCACTTGGCCAAAACCTTGGCCTAATCTGCCTGGGGGCCAGACTCAGATAGCCAAACTAGGATTCTTAAAAATTGTAGCTCTCTGCCTTCAACTCTGTTGAGTGAAAATTAAATCTGCAAGTTCTTTAAGGCATTTTAATTCATAAATCCAACAACTGGCTGTTTTTGAAATGAATCAGTGGAGAATAAGAGAGAGTAGGAAAGAGACAAGACAAAACAGTTCTAGAATTTCATGGAAGATAGAGTTGGAAAAGAAGTCCCAAAACCTTTTAGGCTGATATAAGAATTTGATTAATGAAGTCTGTGATGATTAACTTTGAAAGCTTGAAAGTTCAAAAACAACACAAAGATCTTTCTATGTGAAGTAAATTTTATGCCTGCAAGATAAATATTAACAGATTTCTCCTCAAACTCTCTATATGTCACTAACTGGCTTCTTTATATCAAGTATGTTTGAAAGAACAAGGAAGTATCCAAACTGAAATTAGTAGGTCAGGCCAAACAATAAGACAGAAAAGAAAGATGAGAGACTAAATGGGAAGGAGGTACTATCCTCACACCTGAGGCTGTGTGTATCAATATGTAGCAATCTTAAACTAACATGGCTCCATATTTGCTTGGCTTCCAGGAAGCTCAGAGCTAATAGCATACCTCTATGTGGAAAAAATGATCATCTTTCTTCTCTGGAATGTGTTGGCTCAGCAAAGCCTAAGCTATCTATATAGACTGAGTGAACATCCTCAACTGTATATCTTACCCAGTTAAGGCCCTCCCAACACCCCGCTGCTGCTCTCCAGATTTCTATATAAGGACCTTAGCACTACTGTGTTCTCTTTCATGTGTTACTGCCTTATATTGTAGCCATTTCTTGAAAAATCAGGATTATTCAGGTCTGAGGCAGGGAAATATCAAAGAATAAGAGCACAGAAATATGGAAATTTTAGTAAGGCAAATGTCTTAAAATTCGATTCTTGCACATCATAAGTATTCAGTGAATATGCAACAACTGCTTTTGCATCAGAACTCAAAATCATCTTATTTCTGGTAGGGCTGTAAGACTAGATGAGATGATAAAACTTATGTATGAAAAATTTTCATTAGATTTTAAAAGAAATTTTCTAATGGCACAGGCTTTGCAACTGTACTCCAGATGCCACCCATATCTTTAAGACACGGCCTAGGATAAATGACTCTTTTGGCTTATATATATCAGAAAGCAGAGATGTGGATAGGGCCAGTATTTCCCAGTGTGAACTATGTGAATTCTAGTAAGCATTCTTTAAAAACAAGAAAAAAGAAGATTTTGTGGTCAAAAATATTTGAAAAATGCAATTGGAAGCAGAAGAGACCTAGAATAGCAAAAGCAATTCTTAGGCAACAGAGACATGGCAGGGGGCCACAGTCCCCAACTTAAAATCATACTACAAAGCCACTGTGATAAAACAAAAAACAAACAAACAAACAAAAAAACAGCATGGTCCTGGCAAAGAAACAGACCTGAGGATCACTGGAATAGATTAGAAGATGCAGAAACAACTCCACACATATCCAGCCACCTCATCTTTGACAACGGAGCCAACCACCCTCACTGGAGGAAAGATAGCCTCTTTAATAAATCATGTTGGAAAAACTGGATTTCAACTTGCCAAAGATTAAAACTAGACCCATATCTATCACCATGCACTAAACTGAAATC